TTAACCTTTGCTTGATAAGTGCAATCTGTTCAATTACTTTAGCCCTAGCTCTCCCAGATTCAACACAATCCACAGCCTGTGGGACCTTGCTGCGTACACTGAGCTTCAACACCAGTGCATAAGGCCAAGTTCGCGCAAGGACTACATGTATAGTGGACCAATGGTTAACCATAGTCCGACTAACGCTTGCCCGAACTCTGTCTAGTCGACGGTGGTTGACTAGTCTAGTCGACTATTTGGAAGTAACCTACTGGGGCTGGTTGCATCGCTGGTAACCAATAGCCGCGTGCATTCATAACGCTTGCAGAGAGCCAGGATCCAGAAGTTTTGCAATGACATTTTGACCAGCGTTTGACTAGAGACGTTCGCACGTTGCTATCAGTGTGCAGGCGTAAGGTACATCACAAATCAACCACTAGTCGACTAATGGTCCTTGCCCGAACTTTGCCTTAGCTGTCACATCTGAGACAGTGGGGGCTAGTCCCATTGAACAATGTTACTAGTGTTGTTACTCTGTCGCAGTTGGTGACTCGGGCATTTTGACCATGAGATTTCTGACCTGATGGATCTTGCTAGGCTGGACAGGCTTCTCATTTGGACAAATGTTGCATTTTGCTGCATTCAGGAATGAGGATTCAAATCAAGCTCAAAATGACGTCAATGAGAATTCGGGCGATTCACAATGCAGTGCGTCACCAAGAGTTTGCCATGGAGAGTCAACTTTTCAAGTCTACGGTCGACAAAACACGGCCCATTTGAATGAGTGTCAGTAGACAACTTGAGCAAATTTGTTATAGATTTGGGCATAGCGTTCTGCCGCCTTATCAAAAATCACCATATTGGTACAAAGAAAAGAAAAGGGCAAACATATACTCGAATCATATGCTTATAAAACTACTGACCGGGAAAAACGAAAAATTTCGAATGTCCCGCGCTGCGAATTTGTCGACCATCTCCCACAATGCACTGGGAAAAATGAACTCTCTGTGGCAAACTCTTGGTGGCGTACTGCATTGTGAATTGCCCGAATTGTAATTTGGATAAATATATGGCCGCAGAGAACACTGTCCCCACCCACCCACCTGGCCTGGTATTCCTGTAGACCAGACAGACCTTGGCAATACCTCGGCAGGGATCCAGCTCAAAGATGCGACTCCTTGTGTCAAAATGTGGCTTGGCTGGAACATCAGTGTCCTCATCTGACAATGTCAAGAACAAAAGTTTAAAGTGTCCTTCATTGTAAGTTACCATTTATCAATGAATATTTTCTTTGTTTCCCTGTTTGTAAGATGTAGAGTACAATTTTAATAATGCAGCAAGGATTTTTGTCGTCATTCATATCAACAGATCTGGGGGCACTAGTTCAGGAGAACCTTCTTTCCTCAAGTAACATTTGAAGAAATTGTTTCCAAAATGCAATAAATGCCATTTGGTTACCTTTTAGAAGTCCACCCTCTCCTGGTTGCCTAAATAGCAGTTTTGACGGCTATGATATAGTTTACCACATTTTCAGAATACAGTGAAGCGAAAAAAAATGTGGTTTAGAAACAGTTCTTATATTGTCTATGTTCGATAAGTTTTCATAAACTTCTTCATGTTTTTTAAATGGATATATCTTAATAGGACAGGATATCAGGAACGCTATAGAGCATATAGATGTATACATGTACAGTCGACTCCCGTTATAACGAGCTCGGTCATAACGATAACCCGGATGTAACGAGCACATTCTCCCAGTCCCGATCAATTTGTGTACATTGTAGTACACTGTGGCAAAGTAAAATTTTGCATTTGAATGCTGAGGGCGTTCTCACAGGGGGACGTCTCTATAGTCCGAAGTACCATTGGTCCGAAGTACCATTGGTCCGAAGTCCCATTGGTCTGAAGTCCCATTGCTCTATACGTTCCATTGGTATAAACGTCCCATTGGTCTGACGTCCCATTGGTCCGAAGTCCCATTGGTCTGAAGTCCCATTGGTCCGAAGTCTCCTTGGTCCGACGCCCAATAGGATTAGGGTTAGGGTTAGGGTCAGTCAACCTGAACCAGTGAAACTACACAGTATAAAGTTTACTTTGGACCGATGGGACTTCGGACCAATGGGACTTTGGACCAATGGGACTACTTCGGACTATCGAGACTCAACCTTCACACAGTATGCATGGAGTCCTAAGGCATGGGTTTGGTTGGCAGTATTATAGCATACCACACTGCTCCTCATCGCTTGCGTAGTCCACATCAGCTAGTGACGGCGTGTTGGCATTGCTGGGGGCTTTATTTCCAGCCAGCTTGGTCACATTGCTGATCTTGTTAATCTCCATCCGCCCGACCGACTGCAACTGATCTGAATGAAAAACAAAAATTACACAAACTAAGGTCAAATTCACAACTCAGAAATCTTACAAAGACGGTCTTTTTTTATCATTTCAACACCATTCTACACAATAAACAATCAAATCATCCTGATTTTGGTATTTGTGCTTGCAGCAGCAACCGGGTACGACGACCCAATGTTTTAATTACATCTTTCAATACTTTGAACCTTTAAAGACTTGATGGTATTTACAGAACTATCATCTATTATCTAGGCGTAAGAGCCTTTCATTATAGACACATTTAAGTAATCAATTAATTATACAGAATTATACCTGAGACAACACTCGTTTTTGCAATTGTTATGATTAATTCTAAATATTCGTACCCCATTTGATTATGTTTAGTCTCATCGCTGTGATGACTACCAGGTACGACAGTGTTTTAATTACGGTCATTCAATAATTTGAACCTTAAAGACGTCTTGATGGAGACAATATTTACAGAACTAGGGTCCATCATTTAGGCGTAAGAGCCTTTCATTTAGCATATTTGCGTAATCAATAATAGAATTAACCTTGAGACTTCCCTCCTCTTTACAATTGTTATGGTTATTTCTAAATATTTATACCACATTTGATTTTATATTAAGGCAAGCTTTTCAGAACTATCTTTTTTGGTCTTGTACAATACCAAATACCTTCCGCTGAGGATAAATCACGCATACTATGGTGGAAGTCTATTCAGACTTGTTTGCGTTCTGAACGCATTAGATCACTAGAACAATTCTAGCATCTCATCTAGTAGATCTGATCTTTATGAATCTTACTGCCGACCTGCAAATCTCGTTTTTATACCTCCGTCAGAAACTACTCCGACCATACCTTGATTGCCACTTGTGGATTTCATTTGAACCTTCAAGCTTTACAGAACTTTCCTTTTGGCTTCAGAGCCTTTGACTATACTTAATTGAATAATCGCAAGATACCACTCGTCTATTACATTATGGCTGTTTCTGGATTTGTACCCTATCTAACATTGCTGTGTTGACTGCCAGATACGAAAAACCAAAATCATATTTGGAAAAATGGAAACGTACACCTGAACTATGCAAGACAACTCCTTCAGGCAAGGGTAGCAATGTTCGTCTCTTATAAATACTGTTTGAGACATTGAACAACTATGAAATTACAACCAGACTTAACAACTGTGTTAAAAATTGTATGTTGTCGTTGCTGCTCGCAAGCGTGAAGTGATCTACCTTCAATCCAACCACGCACACATTCCTGTGCCACTCCCTATTCAAATTACCCGCCCTTAACCACTCTACCGTGTCTCATTTACATATCAATGATAAAGCAAATTTATTCTAATTCGTCCCGGTACTCAACCGAATAAATCAATATTTTTAAACATAACCTTTGCAAAATAAACACTACGGTGCTTAAATATAAGGTTTTGTCCTCCACAAGCACATGGCTTGCTTTTGCATAATGGTAAAAAAGTATTGCAGGAAAGGGAAAAGCCATACGTATTGCCCTTTCTATATCCCTCCGACTTTGGTTTTTAGTAATTGTACAAAATCACTCGAGCAATCATTGGGATAAAGAACAACTGTTGCTGAGTTCATGAGCAGAATGGAAGGAAAAATTGACGACTTGAAATGCACAAATACTTGCTTTTGAGCATTAAGCATAAAGCAGCCCTTCCTTTTTCCCTAAAATCTAAGTCAAAGTTAGGACTTAGCCCCCCAAAAATAATAGTTCTGCTTCCGGTTACCCTACCTACCCTATTTTGACAGCCCCTACTCTAATTTTGTTTTGGGAAAAATGAGGAAGATGCGAAGAAAACCTGAAAATCATCAATTTCTACCTTTTACCCTTGACTACATGCAGACACCTCCATATGATTGTACACACACAAAAAATGCCAACAAAAAAAATCCCTACCTACACGTACCTACCCTATTTTGAAATGCCACGTAATCAGAAGCAGAACGATTTTTTTTTTTGGCCTGATGTCAGTGCTGTTTGAAGTTGTATACTGTAATTACCATCAAATCTGACACTCCATGTCAGCAGTAGCCCATCTGAGGTCAGGTAAAACCTCTTGAGGTCATCTGGCAGCATGCAGGAGTTGCGCTGTTCCCAGGACACCACTTGGTGGCGCTCCGCTGGCTGCAGATCAGCAAGCGTAATGTCACAAATCCCTGCCCTCTTTTCTGGAAAGAAAATAGTCAGTTGAAAAAAAGATTTGGCGAAATGCAGTAACCTAAAGCCACTTTCTTCACTATTCCTTCAATGACCAGTTAGTGCTTTAATTCAATTAATTGACTAAACTGTGTTAGATCCCTCGTTTTAGTAACATGTGGTTACTGAGTTAGGATCTGATGGAGAAACTCGCTTCAAATTTTGTTTCAACAATTTTCATAATTCCATAAATTTAATGCTCCTATACATGAAAATCTCTTAGCAGTATCGACAAGTTAAACACAAATTTATGTTTAAAAAAAAACATTTTACGCAGCTGTCCATATTTGTACATTTTCTTACTTACAATCGCTATATTCAGCAGGAAACCTGTGCTTGAATACTACATTCAATCAGCACACACAAGAATTGCAGAATTAAAACAATTCCCAGCCTACCAACCCTATTGATGAAAGGCATGTAATCGGAAGCAGAAGTACATTTTCCTTTGCCTAATCAGGCTAATCACGCCAAAACTGCCTTCAATACAAGTAGTTTGTATTGAAGGCACTGATTCTGATTATCCAAGTTTGTTAATTCTCTAGGGTTGGTGGAGCCGTTTCTTCCCAGCAACTGTCAAACTGCGTGAGATCCTAGCTGCTGGTCTTATTGGCAATGTAAAGGTTTTCAATGCATCGTTTGGCTTGCCAATAAGTTCTCAGGAAAGAATAGCAAATAAAGGAACGGCAGAGTTAAGTTGTTGAAGTTTGAATTTCTTCATATTTTTAGGCCAGTCTTGTCTCAAGACCATCTGTAGACCTAATTTGCAGTGTTCCGGTCTTGACTTGGTTTCAATCTTGGTTGCAATTTACCAATGACCAGACCAAGAATGTTTTCAGTCTTCCATTGCTGGCACTAATTAATGTCCTCATATAAGTGCATGAAATGCGAGCAGTCAATGGTTTGTGTACATTTACGCATTGGTCTTATAATTGTTGTGTGGCTAAAAGTGTTCTGGAGGGTGAGGTAGAGCAGGGGTTAGAACTTTTTTTGAGAGTACTTAATTATGATACTTGAATATTTTGGTAATGTCTGATGGCAGATGTTGGAGGCGGAGGTCTGTTGGACTTGGGCATCTATCCTGTGCAGGAAGCCCTCATGGTATTTGGAGAGGCTCCGTTATCTTGCAAGACTACCGGCACCTTAACAGATTCAGGTGAGATTTCTTTCTTGTTGGGAGTATGAGGTCGGAAGTTAAGATAACTAGTGACCAGTTGGAGATCCAAACCAAGTGTTGTATTAGCGTCCGTCACAAGTCCTTGCACAAGTCTGATTATAACAGGGGATAAACAATAACAAAGTAAACGCCTTTGTCACAATTAATTTGAATATCTTTTGACGTGAGTTTGGAGAACTTGTCATGGACTTGTGCGATTCTTGAGGACTTGTGATGACACTCAATTCACAATCCAACCATAAGTAAGGACACATGTACAAGAGGATGCACACTAATACGGAATGTCTTTTTTATTCCATAGTTCATTTGAGTAGCTTGTGACTGGACTTACTCTTTATAATGTGTATTTTTATAAAACGCACCTATCCACCAATATCATGAATATTGATGCTCAAGGCGCTACATCATTATTACGTCATTATCGACCAGCTCATTGGGCCAATGTATGAAACATTCCAAATACCATCTCAGTTCCCAAGGGAGTATACATGTCGATGCTGCCAAATTCGGCGCAAAGCAGTTAAAATCAATCGCAATAACCATCTCTGCCCTCACAGGTACCCAATCTTCTCCTGGGTGGGGAGATGCAACGAGTGACAAAGTGGCTCGCCCAAAGGCACACGCACCATTATCCCAGGCTTTACTCGAACCTGCAAAATTACCCGCAGACCGAGAATTCAATGCTCCAGAGTCCAGATAGACCACGAGGCCACGGCCCTCCGATTGACTCTTTATTGACTTGTGATCAACTTAATCACAGCAGCTCTACCTTCTTGCATGAAAATCTCCTGTGACTGTGTCCTGTTATTCAGGTGTGGATGAGACAACTGCTACTACATTGTTGTTTCCCAACAAGGCTGTCGCAACACTGAGCACAAGCACTGTGGTGAAACTCCCCAATGAAGTGGAGATAAGAGGAACCAAAGGTCATATCAAGGTCAGTCAGTGAATGTGAAGTTTGTTGGAAATGCCTGGGAACCCGAAGGAACATTCTTAAACCCATAACAGAGATAACAAATCTCATTTAAAGATATATTGGTTACTTGTCAGGCTCAGGCTACCTTAATTCCTTGATCCCTTGGAGGTTCAGGGTTTACTGAAGATGTCCAAGTGTAAATAACCAAATAATTATGTGACTCGCAGTGGCTTGGATGCGAGCCAAGGTTTATTGTATGAGATAATTGTGTAGTGTATGGTTATTCTTATAGTGGTTAGGGTTTGAAGGTTCAAATCCTTGGGCAACTGCTTGTGTCCTTGGGCTAGCCACTTCACCCCCATTTGCTTCTCTCCACCCAGGAGTGGGTACCGGCATTAGCTGGGGAGTAAGCTGTGATGGACTGGCATCCTATCCCGGGGAAATAAAAATATTCTCAATCATTTGATACCAGGGAAACTAGAGGTAAACATCAACGTGATGAGCCTCATCAACTCAAGACATACTTCTAGTCATTCTTGTCTTTTGAAAACTGTAGATCATTAGAACAACCTCCTCCAAGATGGATTGTTCCAAGTGGTGTCTCGCTGCGTAATTGCAATTCCGTTTTGCAGTCCTTTTAATTGATTTTGTTGCAGGTGCCTTGCCCGTTTTGGTGCCCTACAAAACTTGAGGTGACAACCTCCATTGGAGAGGCTGATCTGAAGACCGAGCTGTACGAGTTTCCCCTGCCAAAGGCTGACAATAGCTTCCTCCACGTCAATAGTGCTGGCTTCCGATATGAGGCAGAGTGTGTGCGACAGTGTCTTATGAAAGGTGAGCTGTTATTGAACACTGATCATAATCTGCGGGATAAAGTAAAAGATTCCCAACATTAGACTGTTTGTTTCTTCCTTGTTCTGCTTGAAGTTAAATTATCACATAGAATTTCATTATAGAACCACAAGTTGATATACAAATAAAAATAATCGTAGTGCTGATGAAGCGTTTTCCATCGTGAAAGCGCTTTACAATTATTACCCCGGGTAGCCATTTCTACTCCTGGGAGGAGACAGGCAATTGTAGTTAAGTGTCTTACCCAAGGGCACAAACACCATGTTCCTGGCAGGATTCGAACCCACGCACCATCGTGGTTGAGTCAAACACCGCAACCACTGGACCATGGCATTCTACTCAATGTCATAAAAATTAAAAAGCTTTGCCAGATTTTGAGCTGATTTGAGATGCCCAAAATAAAACATAAAGTACAAGTACCTATTTTTTGGGCTCTTAAAAGTAAAACATAAAACTTGAAAATTTAATTCGAAAACAAACGCAATTGTTGAATTATACATGGAGAGCAACTGTAATGACTAGTGTTTGACCCACAGGTCTGAAAGAGTGTCCAACTGCACGCCTAAAAGAGAGTTTGCAGGCGGCCGAGATCCTGGGCAGTGCCCGGCGTGATGTGGGCTATAAAATACCTGCAGATGACCTTTGACCTCTAACTCTAAAGGTCATACCCCCCTTCATAACCCTATACCTAGGAAGCAACAGCAATCAAGTAAGCTATAGTTTAGAACCAATTCGCCAGACACATCACCTCTGCACTTGTGCGCAATAACAGTGATGCACGAGCTCACCAGCAAGTGCAAAAAGTTGTGATTTAACAGAGGTTCAACCTGATATGATTTATGTTGCTGAATCATGATTGTTTCAATTGATAAATATCTTGAAAAATTACCCCTTTTTGTTGCTTGATGTATGACTAAATTTAAGATGGAATGTTCTGTTTTTGTTTGAAAATTTAAAAATGGCTCAACGTCATCTTTTTTTTATAGAAGATATTGTATAACATTTGACAGTTTGAAGGGGTATTTTTGGAAATTTTATGACAAAAAAATATATATATATATAATAATAGTAATGATAATGATGATGATGATGATATATTAATTTATATAGCTCAAATTCTATAACAAAAATATATTCAAATGTGCTTTCCATAAAAATTCTTCAAAATCCCCCAAAATAATAAATTAATTAAGCAAAAACATTCTGATCTTGTAAAAAATAAAAATGGGGGTGCTGTTCCAAATTGACGATTATGTACACTAGTGGACAATGTCTGGTGCTTTTCAGGGCGATAAATGCGTGAAATTAAAAGCTTTAAATTTATAACTGAATAAAATTAAATGTCAGCATTAACACTGCATAGACAAACCTATACAGTTCAAAGTAGAAGTTGTATATATTCTTGTTTTCTAGTAAAACTATAACACGGCTATAATATCACCAACAGAAGCATTTGCTGTTTTTTCTTCAATATACACAAGGGAATTTTCTTCAACTTAAAAAAAAATTATATCTAAATTAATTACTTAGAAAGTGTATGATTAATCAGTGACGACAAATGGCTGTCATTGTTTTGAATACGTAAAAGATCGCAGAAGACACAAACAATAATGTGTATAGATTCGCAAACGGGAGAACTAAGGGGCTTCTTCTTTGGTTCCCTTAACAGACTTGGGAAAGCGCCTGTGCACGGCCAACCTCATCCACAGGGTGTGAGCATGAACGGGCCCACTACCTGCTCGATCTCACCCTGGTACTACTGGATCATTTGCAGCAGGGTGACCGTAAGGTCATGCCCAAATTCTGCTAAATGCACTTCCAAAATCTGTCAGATTTATCAAAAATCTGCCGAATTCCCATGAATTACTCGAAATACACTATAAACACTTGAAATCACATGCAGATGTTGTAATATTGCCTTAATTAAGGTTCAAATTACATTACAAACAGTCTATATTCATATAAAGGTGTTATGAAATTGCGTAAATTTCAGTCAAAACGAGGTTGCGTCACGACGAAATCTGATTCCCAGTGAACGTCAGCACATACACAAGGCAACCTGTCCTATTTTGCAAGGGTTTGTTTGAAAAGGTTGAAGTTTGTTTAAACAAATTTTCCTTTTTTCAAATTTGCTATGTTTTCCTGTTAAATAACCATTTTTGCAGAATTCTGCCAGAAATCTGCCAGAAAAATCCATTCTGTCAAATTTTCTGTCAAACTCATTTTTAAACAAAAAATCTGTCAAAGTTAGCCGGAAATCGGCTAAAACGGTCACCGTGTTTGCACGTGCAGAAATTTTTAACGCGTATGCAAATGAGGAATAGTCTGGTGCCTGCCTCCGCGTTACATTGAGCGTTTGTTTTTGTATGCGGTGTCTGGGGCAAAAACAGAATCAAGTTGTCGCGCCGTGTGTGAGTTACGAAAACACGATTGTTAAAATGTTACCATCTTATCCCGCCAATATGCAGTATCACATTTCATATTAATATAAAAAGTATGGTGTTCCATATGTGCGTTGCATTTTTCGGTGTCGCATTGTTCAGCTCTTACAGGGATCATTGTGATCGATTTCATGAAAGACTTTCGCAAGACTTCTTGCAACACGGCCAGAGCGTATTGTGCGTTTTATTGCACGTCCTTATCTATCTCCTATGATGTGAATGCTTGAGTCCATGAATTGTACCATACTTTCAATGGGGGCGCTGTTCAAATCCGACGATTATTAGGCCAAAAAAAAAAAATAGTCAGTCTCTGGTCAGCGCGCGCGTCGATTTTAATCATGCGCGTCGATCTTTTTTTTTCCAAAATGTTCCGTGGTAGCTCCAACAGCGCCCTCTATTTCCGCACCTTCTCAATTTTTTTTTACCAAAGAGCACCAAGGAATGGGAAATTGCACCAAGGCAAATGATTGAAAGCACCAAGGCAAATTATGGAGGACACCAATGTATATGAGGACACCAAAAAAGCAAAATAGTACCCCACCTTGTCTGTATAATCCAAGCTTGAAGGAAAAAAAAAAGCAAAAAAAATAAAAAGAGCCGCGTCGCCGCGTCAATTCCGGAACTTTGGTCTGACCAGAGACCGATTATTTTTTTTTTTTTGGCCTTAACACTATTATTACAGATTAGTGTACAAATACCCCCTAACCAAGCTGGCTCTGTCCGTATTTTGTGCACAGGCGGACATTACCAGAACAATTGTTGTGGGTGTCAGAGCAGAGCAGGGGTGGGGGGTCCCATTATTGTTAATGAATTTCCATGAAAAAAAAAATTGACAGAGCTGGGATTTTTTTAACCCCCCCCCCCCCCCCAGGAGTCTGGGCTCCGTGGATTACGGGTGATACTCAGACTACCCTCCCCCCCCCCGGATCCGCGCCAGTTTAGGAATTCGAATTCGCCATTGTTAGCAAAGGAATTCGAAACCGGTTCATGTAATCACTTTGTTCGTCTTTGTTCTTTGTTTCTTTGTTCCTATTTGAAAACGCATAAAACTAACTGTCCCCCACAAGATTCGGCTACAAAGCAGCAGCCACAAAATGACCATATTGATCACTTTTTTTGCATAAAAAGAAAGCTCATGTGACTGAAATGAAGCATGTTTAAGATAAAGCCAATTGAGGAAAAGATTAGAGATATAGGACAATTGCCCAGATCGCAATTTAAATAGGCTAGAAGATGAAAAAATGTGTAAAGGTAACAATTAAGAACGTAAAACAAAATATTTGAACACGATAAAAAGAGGGCAAAGGAGCTCCTAGTTTAATGTTGCCTGAGTTTGTTGTTTATAATGTCGATTTCGTGTGTGGTGTTAAATTTTCTCGCATCACTAGTTTACACTGTTGCTTGTTTAGATTAAAGACAGATAACAGATACTTTGAACATGAAGGGACTATAATTAAACCAATAACAAACGAACATGTAAAAAGTGAAGAAAAACAATAAATCTCGCATCTTGCCTTCGTTTCATTCCTTCTCCCATCCATCTAACCTTTGCCTGTGGGCTGAGGCCGACATCAGTGTAGGCCAGCTGCCACTGGGGGAGCCCTAGGTGCATCAGCATCATGCGGAAGTACTGGCTGAACGTGTGGGCCAAGAAATGCCACCTCAGGGCTCTGTCTAGAAGCCACACCTCAGGATGCTGGGCAGGGCTGCCTGTGGAAAAGTAACCAAACCAAACAAAATTGCATTAAAAAAACGTGACTGAATCAATTGACGGTCTTAACCTTTGCTTGATAAGTGCAATCTGTTCAATTACTTTAGCCCTAGCTCTCCCAGATTCAACACAATCCACAGCCTGTGGGACCTTGCTGCGTACACTGAGCTTCAACACCAGTGCATAAGGCCAAGTTCGCGCAAGGACTACATGTATAGTGGACCAATGGTTAACCATAGTCCGACTAACGCTTGCCCGAACTCTGTCTAGTCGACGGTGGTTGACTAGGCTAGTCGACTATTTGGAAGTAACCTACTGGGGCTGGTTGCATCGCTGGTAACCAATAGCCGCGTGCATTCATAACGCTTGCAGAGAGCCAGGATCCAGAAGTTTTGCAATGACATTTTGACCAGCGTTTGACTAGAGACGTTCGCACGTTGCTATCAGTGTGCAGGCGTAAGGTACATCACAAATCAACCACTAGTCGACTAATGGTCCTTGCCCGAACTTTGCCTTAGCTGTCACATCTGAGACAGTGGGGGCTAGTCCCATTGAACAATGTTACTAGTGTTGTTACTCTGTCGCAGTTGGTGACTCGGGCATTTTGACCATGAGATTTCTGACCTGATGGATCTTGCTAGGCTGGACAGGCTTCTCATTTGGACAAATGTTGCATTTTGCTGCATTCAGGAATGAGGATTCAAATCAAGCTCAAAATGACGTCAATGAGAATTCGGGCGATTCACAATGCAGTGCGTCACCAAGAGTTTGCCATGGAGAGTCAACTTTTCAAGTCTACGGTCGACAAAACACGGCCCATTTGAATGAGTGTCAGTAGACAACTTGAGCAAATTTGTTATAGATTTGGGCATAGCGTTCTGCCGCCTTATCAAAAATCACCATATTGGTACAAAGAAAAGAAAAGGGCAAACATATACTCGAATCATATGCTTATAAAACTACTGACCGGGAAAAACGAAAAATTTCGAATGTCCCGCGCTGCGAATTTGTCGACCATCTCCCACAATGCACTGGGAAAAATGAACTCTCTGTGGCAAACTCTTGGTGGCGTACTGCATTGTGAATTGCCCGAATTGTAATTTGGATAAATATATGGCCGCAGAGAACACTGTCCCCACCCACCCACCTGGCCTGGTATTCCTGTAGACCAGACAGACCTTGGCAATACCTCGGCAGGGATCCAGCTCAAAGATGCGACTCCTTGTGTCAAAATGTGGCTTGGCTGGAACATCAGTGTCCTCATCTGACAATGTCAAGAACAAAAGTTTAAAGTGTCCTTCATTGTAAGTTACCATTTATCAATGAATATTTTCTTTGTTTCCCTGTTTGTAAGATGTAGAGTACAATTTTAATAATGCAGCAAGGATTTTTGTCGTCATTCATATCAACAGATCTGGGGGCACTAGTTCAGGAGAACCTTCTTTCCTCAAGTAACATTTGAAGAAATTGTTTCCAAAATGCAATAAATGCCATTTGGTTACCTTTTAGAAGTCCACCCTCTCCTGGTTGCCTAAATAGCAGTTTTGACGGCTATGATATAGTTTACCACATTTTCAGAATACAGTGAAGCGAAAAAAAATGTGGTTTAGAAACAGTTCTTATATTGTCTATGTTCGATAAGTTTTCATAAACTTCTTCATGTTTTTTAAATGGATATATCTTAATAGGACAGGATATCAGGAACGCTATAGAGCATATAGATGTATACATGTACAGTCGACTCCCGTTATAACGAGCTCGGTCATAACGATAACCCGGATGTAACGAGCACATTCTCCCAGTCCCGATCAATTTGTGTACATTGTAGTACACTGTGGCAAAGTAAAATTTTGCATTTGAATGCTGAGGGCGTTCTCACAGGGGGACGTCTCTATAGTCCGAAGTACCATTGGTCCGAAGTACCATTGGTCCGAAGTCCCATTGGTCTGAAGTCCCATTGCTCTATACGTTCCATTGGTATAAACGTCCCATTGGTCTGACGTCCCATTGGTCCGAAGTCCCATTGGTCTGAAGTCCCATTGGTCCGAAGTCTCCTTGGTCCGACGCCCAATAGGATTAGGGTTAGGGTTAGGGTCAGTCAACCTGAACCAGTGAAACTACACAGTATAAAGTTTACTTTGGACCGATGGGACTTCGGACCAATGGGACTTTGGACCAATGGGACTACTTCGGACTATCGAGACTCAACCTTCACACAGTATGCATGGAGTCCTAAGGCATGGGTTTGGTTGGCAGTATTATAGCATACCACACTGCTCCTCATCGCTTGCGTAGTCCACATCAGCTAGTGACGGCGTGTTGGCATTGCTGGGGGCTTTATTTCCAGCCAGCTTGGTCACATTGCTGATCTTGTTAATCTCCATCCGCCCGACCGACTGCAACTGATCTGAATGAAAAACAAAAATTACACAAACTAAGGTCAAATTCACAACTCAGAAATCTTACAAAGACGGTCTTTTTTTATCATTTCAACACCATTCTACACAATAAACAATCAAATCATCCTGATTTTGGTATTTGTGCTTGCAGCAGCAACCGGGTACGACGACCCAATGTTTTAATTACATCTTTCAATACTTTGAACCTTTAAAGACTTGATGGTATTTACAGAACTATCATCTATTATCTAGGCGTAAGAGCCTTTCATTATAGACACATTTAAGTAATCAATTAATTATACAGAATTATACCTGAGACAACACTCGTTTTTGCAATTGTTATGATTAATTCTAAATATTCGTACCCCATTTGATTATGTTTAGTCTCATCGCTGTGATGACTACCAGGTACGACAGTGTTTTAATTACGGTCATTCAATAATTTGAACCTTAAAGACGTCTTGATGGAGACAATATTTACAGAACTAGGGTCCATCATTTAGGCGTAAGAGCCTTTCATTTAGCATATTTGCGTAATCAATAATAGAATTAACCTTGAGACTTCCCTCCTCTTTACAATTGTTATGGTTATTTCTAAATATTTATACCACATTTGATTTTATATTAAGGCAAGCTTTTCAGAACTATCTTTTTTGGTCTTGTACAATACCAAATACCTTCCGCTGAGGATAAATCACGCATACTATGGTGGAAGTCTATTCAGACTTGTTTGCGTTCTGAACGCATTAGATCACTAGAACAATTCTAGCATCTCATCTAGTAGATCTGATCTTTATGAATCTTACTGCCGACCTGCAAATCTCGTTTTTATACCTCCGTCAGAAACTACTCCGACCATACCTTGATTGCCACTTGTGGATTTCATTTGAACCTTCAAGCTTTACAGAACTTTCCTTTTGGCTTCAGAGCCTTTGACTATACTTAATTGAATAATCGCAAGATACCACTCGTCTATTACATTATGGCTGTTTCTGGATTTGTACCCTATCTAACATTGCTGTGTTGACTGCCAGATACGAAAAACCAAAATCATATTTGGAAAAATGGAAACGTACACCTGAACTATGCAAGACAACTCCTTCAGGCAAGGGTAGCAATGTTCGTCTCTTATAAATACTGTTTGAGACATTGAACAACTATGAAATTACAACCAGACTTAACAACTGTGTTAAAAATTGTATGTTGTCGTTGCTGCTCGCAAGCGTGAAGTGATCTACCTTCAATCCAACCACGCACACATTCCTGTGCCACTCCCTATTCAAATTACCCGCCCTTAACCACTCTACCGTGTCTCATTTACATATCAATGATAAAGCAAATTTATTCTAATTCGTCCCGGTACTCAACCGAATAAATCAATATTTTTAAACATAACCTTTGCAAAATAAACACTACGGTGCTTAAATATAAGGTTTTGTCCTCCACAAGCACATGGCTTGCTTTTGCATAATGGTAAAAAAGTATTGCAGGAAAGGGAAAAGCCATACGTATTGCCCTTTCTATATCCCTCCGACTTTGGTTTTCAGTAATTGTACAAAATCACTCGAGCAATCATTGGGATAAAGAACAACTGTTGCTGAGTTCATGAGCAGAATGGAAGGAAAAATTGACGACTTGAAATGCACAAATACTTGCTTTTGAGCATTAAGCATAAAGCAGCCCTTCCTTTTTCCCTAAAATCTAAGTCAAAGTTAGGACTTAGCCCCCCAAAAATAATAGTTCTGCTTCCGGTTACCCTACCTACCCTATTTTGACAGCCCCTACTCTAATTTTGTTTTGGGAAAAATGAGGAAGATGCGAAGAAAACCTGAAAATCATCAATTTCTACCTTTTACCCTTGACTACATGCAGACACCTCCATATGATTGTACACACACAAAAAATGCCAACAAAAAAAATCCCTACCTACACGTACCTACCCTATTTTGAAATGCCACGTAATCAGAAGCAGAACGATTTTTTTTTTTGGCCTGATGTCAGTGCTGTTTGAAGTTGTATACTGTAATTACCATCAAATCTGACACTCCATGTCAGCAGTAGCCCATCTGAGGTCAGGTAAAACCTCTTGAGGTCATCTGGCAGCATGCAGGAGTTGCGCTGTTCCCAGGACACCACTTGGTGGCGCTCCGCTGGCTGCAGATCAGCAAGCGTAATGTCACAAATCCCTGCCCTCTTTTCTGGAAAGAAAATAGTCAGTTGAAAAAAAGATTTGGCGAAATGCAGTAACCTAAAGCCACTTTCTTCACTATTCCTTCAATGACCAGTTAGTGCTTTAATTCAATTAATTGACTAAACTGTGTTAGATCCCTCGTTTTAGTAACATGTGGTTACTGAGTTAGGATCTGATGGAGAAACTCGCTTCAAATTTTGTTTCAACAATTTTCATAATTCCATAAATTTAATGCTCCTATACATGAAAATCTCTTAGCAGTATCGACAAGTTAAACACAAATTTATGTTTAAAAAAAAACATTTTACGCAGCTGTCCATATTTGTACATTTTCTTACTTACAATCGCTATATTCAGCAGGAAACCTGTGCTTGAATACTACATTCAATCAGCACACACAAGAATTGCAGAATTAAAACAATTCCCAGCCTACCAACCCTATTGATGAAAGGCATGTAATCGGAAGCAGAAGTACATTTTCCTTTGCCTAATCAGGCTAATCACGCCAAAACTGCCTTCAATACAAGTAGTTTGTATTGAAGGCACTGATTCTGATTATCCAAGTTTGTTAATTCTCTAGGGTTGGTGGAGCCGTTTCTTCCCAGCAACTGTCAAACTGCGTGAGATCCTAGCTGCTGGTCTTATTGGCAATGTAAAGGTTTTCAATGCATCGTTTGGCTTGCCAATAAGTTCTCAGGAAAGAATAGCAAATAAAGGAACGGCAGAGTTAAGTTGTTGAAGTTTGAATTTCTTCATATTTTTAGGCCAGTCTTGTCTCAAGACCATCTGTAGACCTAATTTGCAGTGTTCCGGTCTTGACTTGGTTTCAATCTTGGTTGCAATTTACCAATGACCAGACCAAGAATGTTTTCAGTCTTCCATTGCTGGCACTAATTAATGTCCTCATATAAGTGCATGAAATGCGAGCAGTCAATGGTTTGTGTACATTTACGCATTGGTCTTATAATTGTTGTGTGGCTAAAAGTGTTCTGGAGGGTGAGGTAGAGCAGGGGTTAGAACTTTTTTTGAGAGTACTTAATTATGATACTTGAATATTTTGGTAATGTCTGATGGCAGATGTTGGAGGCGGAGGTCTGTTGGACTTGGGCATCTATCCTGTGCAGGAAGCCCTCATGGTATTTGGAGAGGCTCCGTTATCTTGCAAGACTACCGGCACCTTAACAGATTCAGGTGAGATTTCTTTCTTGTTGGGAGTATGAGGTCGGAAGTTAAGATAACTAGTGACCAGTTGGAGATCCAAACCAAGTGTTGTATTAGCGTCCGTCACAAGTCCTTGCACAAGTCTGATTATAACAGGGGATAAACAATAACAAAGTAAACGCCTTTGTCACAATTAATTTGAATATCTTTTGACGTGAGTTTGGAGAACTTGTCATGGACTTGTGCGATTCTTGAGGACTTGTGATGACACTCAATTCACAATCCAACCATAAGTAAGGACACATGTACAAGAGGATGCACACTAATACGGAATGTCTTTTTTATTCCATAGTTCATTTGAGTAGCTTGTGACTGGACTTACTCTTTATAATGTGTATTTTTATAAAACGCACCTATCCACCAATATCATGAATATTGATGCTCAAGGCGCTACATCATTATTACGTCATTATCGACCAGCTCATTGGGCCAATGTATGAAACATTCCAAATACCATCTCAGTTCCCAAGGGAGTATACATGTCGATGCTGCCAAATTCGGCGCAAAGCAGTTAAAATCAATCGCAATAACCATCTCTGCCCTCACAGGTACCCAATCTTCTCCTGGGTGGGGAGATGCAACGAGTGACAAAGTGGCTCGCCCAAAGGCACACGCACCATTATCCCAGGCTTTACTCGAACCTGCAAAATTACCCGCAGACCGAGAATTCAATGCTCCAGAGTCCAGATAGACCACGAGGCCACGGCCCTCCGATTGACTCTTTATTGACTTGTGATCAACTTAATCACAGCAGCTCTACCTTCTTGCATGAAAATCTCCTGTGACTGTGTCCTGTTATTCAGGTGTGGATGAGACAACTGCTACTACATTGTTGTTTCCCAACAAGGCTGTCGCAACACTGAGCACAAGCACTGTGGTGAAACTCCCCAATGAAGTGGAGATAAGAGGAACCAAAGGTCATATCAAGGTCAGTCAGTGAATGTGAAGTTTGTTGGAAATGCCTGGGAACCCGAAGGAACATTCTTAAACCCATAACAGAGATAACAAATCTCATTTAAAGATATATTGGTTACTTGTCAGGCTCAGGCTACCTTAATTCCTTGATCCCTTGGAGGTTCAGGGTTTACTGAAGATGTCCAAGTGTAAATAACCAAATAATTATGTGACTCGCAGTGGCTTGGATGCGAGCCAAGGTTTATTGTATGAGATAATTGTGTAGTGTATGGTTATTCTTATAGTGGTTAGGGTTTGAAGGTTCAAATCCTTGGGCAACTGCTTGTGTCCTTGGGCTAGCCACTTCACCCCCATTTGCTTCTCTCCACCCAGGAGTGGGTACCGGCATTAGCTGGGGAGTAAGCTGTGATGGACTGGCATCCTATCCCGGGGAAATAAAAATATTCTCAATCATTTGATACCAGGGAAACTAGAGGTAAACATCAACGTGATGAGCCTCATCAACTCAAGACATACTTCTAGTCATTCTTGTCTTTTGAAAACTGTAGATCATTAGAACAACCTCCTCCAAGATGGATTGTTCCAAGTGGTGTCTCGCTGCGTAATTGCAATTCCGTTTTGCAGTCCTTTTAATTGATTTTGTTGCAGGTGCCTTGCCCGTTTTGGTGCCCTACAAAACTTGAGGTGACAACCTCCATTGGAGAGGCTGATCTGAAGACCGAGCTGTACGAGTTTCCCCTGCCAAAGGCTGACAATAGCTTCCTCCACGTCAATAGTGCTGGCTTCCGATATGAGGCAGAGTGTGTGCGACAGTGTCTTATGAAAGGTGAGCTGTTATTGAACACTGATCATAATCTGCGGGATAAAGTAAAAGATTCCCAACATTAGACTGTTTGTTTCTTCCTTGTTCTGCTTGAAGTTAAATTATCACATAGAATTTCATTATAGAACCACAAGTTGATATACAAATAAAAATAATCGTAGTGCTGATGAAGCGTTTTCCATCGTGAAAGCGCTTTACAATTATTACCCCGGGTAGCCATTTCTACTCCTGGGAGGAGACAGGCAATTGTAGTTAAGTGTCTTACCCAAGGGCACAAACACCATGTTCCTGGCAGGATTCGAACCCACGCACCATCGTGGTTGAGTCAAACACCGCAACCACTGGACCATGGCATTCTACTCAATGTCATAAAAATTAAAAAGCTTTGCCAGATTTTGAGCTGATTTGAGATGCCCAAAATAAAACATAAAGTACAAGTACCTATTTTTTGGGCTCTTAAAAGTAAAACATAAAACTTGAAAATTTAATTCGAAAACAAACGCAATTGTTGAATTATACATGGAGAGCAACTGTAATGACTAGTGTTTGACCCACAGGTCTGAAAGAGTGTCCAACTGCACGCCTAAAAGAGAGTTTGCAGGCGGCCGAGATCCTGGGCAGTGCCCGGCGTGATGTGGGCTATAAAATACCTGCAGATGACCTTTGACCTCTAACTCTAAAGGTCATACCCCCCTTCATAACCCTATACCTAGGAAGCAACAGCAATCAAGTAAGCTATAGTTTAGAACCAATTCGCCAGACACATCACCTCTGCACTTGTGCGCAATAACAGTGATGCACGAGCTCACCAGCAAGTGCAAAAAGTTGTGATTTAACAGAGGTTCAACCTGATATGATTTATGTTGCTGAATCATGATTGTTTCAATTGATAAATATCTTGAAAAATTACCCCTTTTTGTTGCTTGATGTATGACTAAATTTAAGATGGAATGTTCTGTTTTTGTTTGAAAATTTAAAAATGGCTCAACGTCATCTTTTTTTTATAGAAGATATTGTATAACATTTGACAGTTTGAAGGGGTATTTTTGGAAATTTTATGACAAAAAAATATATATATATATAATAATAGTAATGATAATGATGATGATGATGATATATTAATTTATATAGCTCAAATTCTATAACAAAAATATATTCAAATGTGCTTTCCATAAAAATTCTTCAAAATCCCCCAAAATAATAAATTAATTAAGCAAAAACATTCTGATCTTGTAAAAAATAAAAATGGGGGTGCTGTTCCAAATTGACGATTATGTACACTAGTGGACAATGTCTGGTGCTTTTCAGGGCGATAAATGCGTGAAATTAAAAGCTTTAAATTTATAACTGAATAAAATTAAATGTCAGCATTAACACTGCATAGACAAACCTATACAGTTCAAAGTAGAAGTTGTATATATTCTTGTTTTCTAGTAAAACTATAACACGGCTATAATATCACCAACAGAAGCATTTGCTGTTTTTTCTTCAATATACACAAGGGAATTTTCTTCAACTTAAAAAAAAATTATATCTAAATTAATTACTTAGAAAGTGTATGATTAATCAGTGACGACAAATGGCTGTCATTGTTTTGAATACGTAAAAGATCGCAGAAGACACAAACAATAATGTGTATAGATTCGCAAACGGGAGAACTAAGGGGCTTCTTCTTTGGTTCCCTTAACAGACTTGGGAAAGCGCCTGTGCACGGCCAACCTCATCCACAGGGTGTGAGCATGAACGGGCCCACTACCTGCTCGATCTCACCCTGGTACTACTGGATCATTTGCAGCAGGGTGACCGTAAGGTCATGCCCAAATTCTGCTAAATGCACTTCCAAAATCTGTCAGATTTATCAAAAATCTGCCGAATTCCCATGAATTACTCGAAATACACTATAAACACTTGAAATCACATGCAGATGTTGTAATATTGCCTTAATTAAGGTTCAAATTACATTACAAACAGTCTATATTCATATAAAGGTGTTATGAAATTGCGTAAATTTCAGTCAAAACGAGGTTGCGTCACGACGAAATCTGATTCCCAGTGAACGTCAGCACATACACAAGGCAACCTGTCCTATTTTGCAAGGGTTTGTTTGAAAAGGTTGAAGTTTGTTTAAACAAATTTTCCTTTTTTCAAATTTGCTATGTTTTCCTGTTAAATAACCATTTTTGCAGAATTCTGCCAGAAATCTGCCAGAAAAATCCATTCTGTCAAATTTTCTGTCAAACTCATTTTTAAACAAAAAATCTGTCAAAGTTAGCCGGAAATCGGCTAAAACGGTCACCGTGTTTGCACGTGCAGAAATTTTTAACGCGTATGCAAATGAGGAATAGTCTGGTGCCTGCCTCCGCGTTACATTGAGCGTTTGTTTTTGTATGCGGTGTCTGGGGCAAAAACAGAATCAAGTTGTCGCGCCGTGTGTGAGTTACGAAAACACGATTGTTAAAATGTTACCATCTTATCCCGCCAATATGCAGTATCACATTTCATATTAATATAAAAAGTATGGTGTTCCATATGTGCGTTGCATTTTTCGGTGTCGCATTGTTCAGCTCTTACAGGGATCATTGTGATCGATTTCATGAAAGACTTTCGCAAGACTTCTTGCAACACGGCCAGAGCGTATTGTGCGTTTTATTGCACGTCCTTATCTATCTCCTATGATGTGAATGCTTGAGTCCATGAATTGTACCATACTTTCAATGGGGGCGCTGTTCAAATCCGACGATTATTAGGCCAAAAAAAAAAAATAGTCAGTCTCTGGTCAGCGCGCGCGTCGATTTTAATCATGCGCGTCGATCTTTTTTTTTCCAAAATGTTCCGTGGTAGCTCCAACAGCGCCCTCTATTTCCGCACCTTCTCAATTTTTTTTTACCAAAGAGCACCAAGGAATGGGAAATTGCACCAAGGCAAATGATTGAAAGCACCAAGGCAAATTATGGAGGACACCAATGTATATGAGGACACCAAAAAAGCAAAATAGTACCCCACCTTGTCTGTATAATCCAAGCTTGAAGGAAAAAAAAAAGCAAAAAAAATAAAAAGAGCCGCGTCGCCGCGTCAATTCCGGAACTTTGGTCTGACCAGAGACCGATTTTTTTTTTTTTTGGCCTTAACACTATTATTACAGATTAGTGTAC